CTGGATTGCTTGTTCCCTGCCGTGTTGTTTTCCCAACTGATGTCGGCGTGATTAAAATCCCTCATGAGGACCAGGGCTTGTGAATGAGCAGTAACTCCTATCTGCTTATGAAGGGCCTCATCCACTTGATCCTCCTGGTTGGGTGGTCTGTAGCACACCCCCACTGTAAAGTCTCCTACCCTTCCTTTCACCCTGGTCCACAGGCACTCGATTCATTCATCATCCCTTGCCAGGTGGAGCCCCGTGCATTCTCGCTGTTCATTTAAAATTAATTCTGCTTTGACACAAGTCACCTGACTCTGTTCCAGGAATATGTAAAACTAGTGACACAAATATGCTGATAGTGTTGTCTTCCCATTTTTTTCCCAGTGTGGCTGATCTGAAACATGCGATTCAAACGAAGTATAAGATTGCCATTCAGCACCAAGTACTCGTTGTCAATGGAGGAGAGTGCATGGCACCAGATAGAAGAGTATGCAGTTACAGTGCTGGAACAGTAAGTGCCTACTGCATTCTTTGTCTAAACTGTCATTTGTAGGGGAAGAAAAAGATGTTTTAGTAAGGACTTTTTAAGTATTTTTCTGTAGTGTACTGTTTGCTGAATTTCTTTGGTTTGCAAGACATATTTGTGTTCAGTTTATACATGGAGATTTTAACATGTTCTTAAGGCATGTTACCCACATAATGAAATAATTGGTGATTGAACAGTTTATTGCCTTCACTCAGTGTTTGTTTTCATTTTCTTTTTGAGTGTAGGATACCAACCCAATTTTTTTATTCAACAAAGAAATGATATTGTGTGAACGTCCACCAGCTATCCCCAAAACCACATTTTCAGCAGAGAATGAGATGGAATTGAAAGTAGAAGAATCTCTCATGATGCCTGCAGTGTTTCATACGGTAGCATCACGGACACAACTTGCTGTGGTAAGTAAATTCTTACTGTACTTGAATGCCAAAGGAAAATAACATTTTTGTATGTTAGAGGGGAACTTTGTTATAAATTATGAAAATGTTTGTTCAAAAGATATTAAGAATGGCATATTAGCGATGATGCATTCTTCAGAGCCTTTGTCTTGAGATTTCAAGGTAGGTATTGAAATGTGCTTGTCTCTTCAGCATGTTCAAAGCTTCTTTCAAAAGCATATCGTCATACAGCTTTATGGATGTATATGTTTACAGCATTTGCAAAAGAAAAGCAATCTGGTTGCTTTGGACCCAGGCCTTAGTGCTCTGCCTTATTTTCAGTGTCTTCAGACTGCCTCCACCTGAAAACGGAAAGGTTTCTTTGGAAACATTGTTAACTCAAGTAGAAAATTAGCAGTATAGTTTTTAAAAGCATCTTTCCAAGCTTCTGTTTCATCCTATATGTCTAAACAACTTGTCGGAATTCCAATCTGATTACTTCTGTATTATTTTGATAGCAGGAACTAATTCTCTGCAATGTGGTCAGTAAGATAATCAGATGGGTATGCAGTAACAATGGCTGCATGTTCAAGAGTTTTCTGTAGCTGAATTGCCTGCCTTTCTTCATGTTAGGAAATACTGCTTTTGTTTCCCTTCTCGAATTTCATGGTTAAATGCATTAAATATTTTTCATGTCGGTAAGATTATTTAAACACAAGGGCTGGGAGTAGGGGAATGGTTGTGTAGTGCTTAATGCAAAATGAATAGTAATACATGTTTTTTGCACATTGCCTTCTTAATAAAGTTTCTTAGTTTCAGTGATAACTTTAATGCAGTCCAAAAGAATATTTAACACTTGAAGTGGTTTTTAATGCCCTACAGCTGAATTTGGACAAAAGTGCTAAGTCTTGCAGATAGCATGGGTTTTTTTTGTTTTCCCCCTTGGGGGTATTTAATTTTCCCCCTGTCAGGAGGGTGAGAGTTAACCTGAATAATCTGGCCTTGACATACTGTCAGATTTAAGGCAATGATTGAGTCCATTAGACTCTCTTCCTCTCTCTACCACCTGTTGGCAGTTACTGCTGACTTAGTAAATAGGACCCTGAGTTATTAGGGATCTGTGAATCGTATGAGTGTCATGTGGAGAAGAGGGGATATTGATGTGATTTCAGCTCGGAGTGGGAGGTTTCATTTGTGCTCCCTGAAGAGTGAGTATTCTGGTTTAGAAGCTGAAACTGAAAGTGCTTTAAAAGCGTTTTTTCGGTGAGATGTTGAGGACTTTATAAAAGCCATCAAGACTGATATCTGTCAAATGCCTTACATTGATCTGATATGAAAGGGGGGCTGTAGTAAGTACTGTGGTGTTTATGTTCATGCTTTACCTATAGTAATGGAACTGAGTGGTGGTGCTACCCAGTCTCATATTTCTCATTGTTGATACTTTATCTTCTTTCTTGTTCCCATCCCTGATTTTTTGGTCTTAAAGATTCTTAATTTTGGTTTTGGTCTGGTGAAGTTAGTGTACGCTGATAGAATAGATTTAATTCCTTTGGAGTAAGCTCTTTATGTTCCAGGAGTTTTTTTATAACAAGTAGTGCTACTTAGACTTGGAAGGAATTGTTAGTGCTACCTTCTCTTCCCCCTTGATTCTGAAGGATGTATTAATATGCAGAGCAAGCATATGCACTGTTTCTGATTTTAAATTAATTTTTTAGATCTTTACTAGCTCGTTCTGGTGGCAGGTCTTCTGTAAAGGAAGCCCATATTTCAGAAATTCTCTTAATCTCTGTATGGAGTACAGCTTTTTTTGGGCAACTGGAGCTATAAACTTTTCAGTCTTTACCTAAATATTATCTAGAGAAAGTGATTCTGAGCTGATTTGCAAGAAGAAAATAAATCTTTCCATCTTACTTGATGGCATCTATGAATATTATTACAGGATAGGGGGAGGAATGTAGTACTTAGTTCTTTAAACATGGATCTAAGTAGAAGGGAGGTTTTATTTTTAGCCTGCAGTTTTATTTTCTGTTCCCCACTTCTTCCAGTTCTTCGCTGTTTGTAAACAGACTACTATGGTAGTAGAATCTTTTGTGAAAAAAATTAGAAATTTATTTAAAAATTAAACAGGTAGTAATATTCTTAAATCTAATGGACCTTTACATGCACAGTTAATTGTATTCAAGATTTTAAATGTTTCAAAACCATAAGTTCTGCGTTAGGCTGTGAAAAATGCATTTGGTACTTTAGGAGGTCAGGGGAATGACAAAGCCATGTATTGTGAAGATTTAGTAAATAGAATATCATGACTTTAGATGTACAAATGTCTGAAAACTGTACAAAGGAGTTATTGCAGTATTGTACAAAAGCAGTTTTTCATGATGCCTACTTGAAGCATATTGAGCACTAATTCAGAAGAAACTGAGGGAGTACTGGAAATGTGGTTAGGACATTAATCTTCTTCAAGGTTCACCATAAGCCTCTTGGCTGGGACGAAGAGGGAACATGGGATATTAATCCTTCTCAAAATTGATTAAGATCTGGGGAGAGCTACAAGGGCTCTAAACCTCTGTAATTGTGAGATTGATGCATCCAAAGCCACACTGAGAGTACTGTAGAGATCTGCAAAATGGGCATGAAAAATCTGCCTTAGAGTGATCCAAGCTTTGTCTTTTTATTAATTTTTGAGAGACAGTAGCCTGCTTTACCAGAATAACTAGAGTGGCAGTACTTGATGGAGAGTTTTTGCTTCTTGTAATTATTTAGAATAATTTATTTAAATAAATTTAATATATTAAATATTCACTATTAACATGTACTAGTACATGATAAAATGTCTTGTGTTAGGAAGAGTTACAGTCTAAATCATTGTTCATGACAGAAGGTCTTACCTATTCTCATCAACAGTAAGAAACAGTAATGTATAACTATGTAAAAGTAAGGGAAAATATTTAATAGCTATCAGTTTCTGTTTAATTTGGTATCTATTCTGCCCAGAGGATCTACAGTATGATTTTGAAATCAGACTTGATTTGAAATTGTAAATGACATATGAAATAGGAAAAATTGCTTAGAAGATGGCTGCTAACTTACTATGGAAGAACTCTTGGTTATCTCTTTACCCATGTCGTCTTTAGTAATAGACAGACTTGTTTTGTGGAAGATTATGAATATTTCAGGGTGTGAAAACTTATTTCTGTCTTATTTCTTCTTCATTTTAACGCTGCCTAAAACCTCTTGAATTTAATTACATTTTTTGGTATCTGTGACTTGAACTGTATAATACTAGGCAACTATGCTGTAGAACTATGTGGAAGTTGGTTTTTTTTTATGTTACTTTATTTTTAACCTTATTTATTTATACTGTGGAGAAAGGTGGACAGATAATTCTGACTCATTTTTTCTGATCTGTGCTTTGTATACAGTGATACATGGCCTTTACCTTTTTTTTTTTTTTTTTAGAGTAACAAGTAGGTCTAGATTCTCCTTCAAAAATATTTTTTTTTAATCCATGCATTATTTCTTCTCTATTGTTTTTGTCTGTTTAAAACTTACCATTATTGCTTTAAATTCTGCTTTTGTGTTCTGCATATTTTTTGCCATAATCTTCACTTATCTGTAGTTACTCTTCAGGTATAACCAAATGTCATCTTTTAGTTTGCCGTGGAAGCTCTGCTAGTCTTATAAACTTTTGTCTATATATTTATAGGATATAGGTATGTATAAAAGCAGACTGTTTTTTTTTTTGCAAGTGAAACTAATTTCATTAACTTATTCATAACCTTTTCAGGATTTTAATACCTCCTATTCAAAAGTAATTTCCATGGGAAACTTAGTAACTTCTTTTTGGTTTTTCATGGTACTGTCATTATCATACCAAGATGCTTCAATTTTTTTCTATCTCTTTGCTTTCATGGTTTTAATATCCTTATAGATTTTTCTTAAGTTCCTTTGGATTACTTGAGATCTCATTCCATAGAATTCACAGTATAAAAATCAGGTTGCTTTAAAGAAGCTATGTCTGCTACCTTAACTTGTTCTTTTGCCGGTTAAACTGAAACTCTTGCCATAGCTTTTGTCATATGTGGTGCAATCTCCTAGTTTTATAAACTTTTTTAATCCTATCCTTTTTGCTCAATGTTGCATCTGCTGTCTGCCGTTTAAATCTCGGGTAAAGCAACTTTATAAGCCTATTTTCATTTTATGTCTTGGTATCCTGGTTTCCCTCTGACTTAAAAACTACCTTTGAGATGTCTATACCTAAAAAGTTACAGCTTGCCTTTTTACAATTAGTGTTGTTTCCCATCTCTCTTCCAGTTCAATCATTTTGACCCTGAGTTGCAATATGTGGACAATGAGATGCACAAAGTATTTGCAAAAAGTTATGTACACACCAGCTTAGAAGAAGACAACCTGTTCTTAACAGAGCATGTTGTGTAATAAACTACTTTGTGTGAGTCTTGTCTAATTGTCCGTGATCTGACTGAAGTTCCAGTGTTATTTGTCCCAGGAGGATATTGGAAACTTGAACTCTTTGTTAGTGGATGTGTTTCACATTCTGTGTGAAACTGTTGCTGTCATCATCAAACTGTCAATTCCGGTCGTTTTTGCTTTGAGAAGTAGGAATGAGGATGAGAAACTGTGCGATCATTTCATTTGATTGCCTCAAACCATGGCTGTAGTCATAGTACCTAGATCAGTCTTGGTTTAGTTCCAGACACTTCATAATACTTAAGCCAAGAAGTGTAGTCATGCTTCCTGAAAGCTATGTATCTACTATTTGTAGAAGTGCTCTTTCACTTCTAGAAGCTTTTCTGAGACCCTCTGGGAAAGATTTGCTTTGAAATTTTAATATTCCTTAAGATGTTGTAATATTTGTAACAATTATGTAGCTAAATTAATGCTATTCATTCTTTTTGGCTTAATGATTAGTCTAATAGCCAGGATTCTAGTTTGTCCATGGAAATTCAGACTTTTTATGTAACTCAGAATAGTGATCAATTTCGTAATCTTTTAAAGTAATT